AGCTCCCCTCTGTCACCGACGGCCTCTTAGAAACTCATTTTTCTAAGCATTTTTAAAGAAAGATTGCTGAGAAGCGTACCCTCCTGCCAGCAGGCTGAGATCTGAGCTCTTTTCATTCATTTTCACCAATAAAAGCTTGTCGGCCGCCTCATTTCAAGAGCTTTCTGGGAAATTACTGAAATGAGTGAATGTAAATTAGAAATAGTTTCATCTGATTGAGAGAGATTTCTAAGAGAGAGAACTTTGTGGAGTGAACACGAGACGTTGGGTGCAGCGGGGATCCTGCTGTTGACCTGCAGCCAAGTGGGACAGGAAACCGAGGGGGAGGGATAGAAAGATGGGGGAGAAACAGATGACGGGAGGGAAAGAGTAGGAAAAAGGACGAGAAGAAGGGGAAAGAAGACGAGGAGGTGGGGATCACCGTTGGGATCGAAGGGAGACTGGGGGCACAAGAAAGGGGGAAAAGTAGAAAAACAGACGGAGGGAGGGATGAAAAAAGTTCAGAGATATAAAGAGACAAACTGGAGAAAGAAAGAAAAAAGGACAAGAAGACAGAGAATGTGAATGGGGGAAAAAAAGGAGGAGGTGGATTTGGGGTTGCAGAGAGGAACAAGATGGGAAAGACGAGGCGGACGGAAGCAGGGATGAAGGATGAGGATTAAAAACAGTCAGCTTCCACAGAACAGTTTCATCATAAACTACCAGACACAGATGAAGGAGGAACTTCACTTAATGAGGCTGTATTCACGTCCTGTCTCCCACCTGCAGCCAGCACTGGATTCTTATCAGACTTTAATAAAGTAATAAAGTTTCCACTCCGCTCAGAAAAATGGGTGCGTTGTCCTTGTTGTACTGATGAATAAAGTGTCTCGGATGAAAGACTAAAATGTCTTTGAGCATCTTTAAGTCCAGTTGGCCTTTCTTGGACAACTCTGACCTGGATGACTGAGAACCTTTGACCTAATGATAGAAAACAATGCTTTTGGACTTACTCAGTGTTTGTAAGGGGCTTTAGATGTTTTAGTCTTTCTATGTTTAGATAAAGACACTGTGATGCTGCTGTAACCGACTGTCTGGTCGACACCTGAAAGTCCGCACCAACCAAGGTCCAACCAAAGTTCAAGTGTTGAAACATTTTGAGAGATTCGGTTAGTTTTCTATCTTTGACAAGAATGAATGAATAAGAAATGAACTATGTTGTTATTATCAAGCGTTACTACCTGCAGCACCAACTATACCGAAGGCTCGTCGCAATTAAACTTCCTCGTTGTGCGAACATTATAACCGACAGGACAGGAGGAGAAGACAGCAAGTGATCCTTGTGCACCTCGGTTTGAGGAGAGACCAGTGAGCTTCTAAAGAGGCCGAGTGTGTGAAAAGATGGGCTTTCACGGGAGATTTATAATCGTGTCCTCATTTCTGAACCATCCAAAAAATGCTTTCAGACCAGAAACGAACCGCACCAGGGTTCAGTTCGATCCAGAGCGAGACTTCCTCTTTTCGGGTCTGTTCGGTCCGGACCGTGGTCCGTGGGAGGTTTTGGTTCGGACCGAACGAGGCAGGTGTGAAAGCCCCCTTAGACACGGTAGTGTTGTCTCGAATCGAACATGGTTATTTTTAAGGTTTACATTCAATGGAAGTCTAATTCCAACATAAAGCTAACTTCACCACGGTGCAAAGTCATGTTCCCTCACCAAACTATTACGGTGAAGAGAGCAATTAGCAACGATGGACGTTTTCCTATCGTCAAATGATAGAAATGGTCATATCGCACAGCCCTATGCTCAAGTAGATCTACGTTCTGAATGTAGTTTGCTTTTATCTGGTTCTGGATCCACCACTTTTGTTGGACCCCCCTGCCTGCAACCCTCTTCTAAACAAAGACATCTCTTTAATTCTTCCCTTCTTTTTTAAAGTCTTTATCTTTGATTTGTTGTTTCTTCGCTCTACTTCTCTTGTTTCCTCTCTTATCATCTCTCTTCTCCTTCTTTGTTCATGAAGTCTGTTTCCTTTCCTCGGGCTGTAGCGTCTCTTCCTCATTCCTCCTGTCTTCTCCCTCTCTTCATCTTCTCGTTTATCTCTCTGTCATTTTTCACTCATCTCTGTTTCGTCTCTCTCTTCCTCCCTCCAGTGAGTGTGTTTCCTGTTGCCTTTAAAAGGTGATGAATGTCGTCAAAGCCTTTCATTATATGCCTCATTACACACACAGCTCTTGTTTTTAGCCGGTTTAGAGGAAAACTACTGGAGTCTCTCTAGATTACAGTAAAATCAGATGATTTTCATCTTGGAAACCCCGAGCGACGTCATGGATCTGACCTCTCTCACCGATTATTTTCTGTTTCGCCAAAGTTCTCTTCCTCCCTGGACGGATTTCTGTCTCGTTTTGTCCAAACGTCGTGCTGTTGGTCTGTGTGTTTTAGTGTCCGGGCTCCTGTTTGGTTCAGTCTGTCAGTGTGCGTTTTGGTCATGTGTTACTAATAAAGCCGTTTGGTGATGTGACAGCTCTTTGTGGTTTCTGGACTCTCTGCTGCTATCACATCTCTCTCACTCTCTTCCTCATCTCTGTCGCAATGTCTCTCTCCCCTGACTCCTCTCCAGTGTAATCTAATTACTAGCTACTACAGGAAATGACCTCATTTGGACTGACAGGATTGGATGATGGATTTTAGTTTGTTAAAGTTTCCATTACAGCATGACTGATGACCTACACATGAATGGTATAAAACCGCAGAAGCGATACACGTCTCTATTTATTGGCAGGTACAGTTATCCAATAACAGACTAATAGATAATTATATCACATGACAGCCTCTTTGGTCCTCTTTAACCCTTTCAAAACAGCTTACTGAGCTGCCAGGAGAGTCCTGCAGGTTATAACTGAGAGGTGGTGAAGTGTCTGCAGATGATGTTTAGGACAAACTCAATGTGTTGATGATGCACAAAGATACTTTAGAAAACAATAAGAGCTGTATATATTGTGTTATTTATCTTTAAAGGTTGCATTCAGTCATATCTAGGGTTGGGTATTGTTTAAAATTTACGATACCAGAACCAAACCCAGTACCCTTAAAGTGATACTGATACCAGTAGAGTACTTCATTCCGTACCTTGTATAAAATGCCGCCTGTTGAAGCTGTAGTGGTTGATCGGCAGCCTATTATTAATCTTATTGTTGTTATGGACAAGAAAGGGGATCTATTTTATTTTTCTCTTGTTTCAAATAACTGCTACATAAAAGTTTTGGGAAACTGTATCAGATCCTGCTCGTCCTGATTAGTTCGTCGTCCCGGGTGATATTATTATACGGGGGAGAGAGGAGTGAAACAGTTTAGTGACCAAATAAGTTGTGGGAAACGAATTTAAGGTAATTTTTTGACTTTTGAATAAACAACAGGAAATGATTTAGTTAAGTTTCGATCAATAAACTGAACTGAAAGATCTCAGATCACTTTTTCCTTTTAGTGGTGAGACGCAAACCTCCGGAAACAAAAAATGTCCAGAGAAGAGTTAAATGATCCCAGAAGGTGAAACCAACAGAAAGCCCAGCTTGTGCTGATGAACTGAGACGCAGCCGAAGGTCAGCGGCTGTTAGGATCAGCTGGACTGAGCGCGTGCAGCAGACACATCAGGAAAAACAAAAGGCTGCTCTTCTCTTTCCTTCAGTGTGTATCTAGTCATATCAGGGTACATTCATCTGTGATTAAATAGGCCTCCACAGTAAATACTAAGGGATAATCGGTCAATGTGCAATTTTCTTAAATGACAGAATTGAATGTAATTATCCAGAGGAAAAGTGGGTTGAAAGTTTGCTTAAAGTAAAAGCACATTACTGTTGGTTTGGTGTTCCACAACTTGACTTTCAGTTTTACCTCATCATAAAGATAGGAAGTTAACTATAAAATGGTGGTGCTAATGTCACGTCAGCTATTTACATAAAGAGAGCACAGTGGTCACTCTGATACTAATAAAGAAAAAAGATCTAAAGCATTATGAAAGCACTTCAAATAAAACTAGAAGTGAACGTCTCTCTAAAGGTGTCAAAGATTTGCCATGATGGGCTTGTGATGTCTGAAGATGTGAAGACTTAATAAATGCAGCTGCTTTCTTTGTTAAATTACTCTCGGTAATATCAGACAGACTGGAGATGCCACATTTATTCCTGCTGCTGATGGAAACAAGTATTGATCTGGAAAAATAACATTTTTATTTGTATTCTGATGTGCATCTTGATCAAACACTGACAGAAGTGAATATGGCAAAAGTCAAAGTGTTCTTCTCATCCAGCAAGCAAGATTGTGCTTTGCCAGGAGGTCTGAGGAAACACAAGATAGAGGGCACTTTTGTTTCCACAACATTGCTTTTAACCCTGCTGCTCCTAATGTTAGCACATACTGCCTCTGCCAGCAGCAGTAATGGATCGTCCTCCTCCTCCTGTCAGGCATCATGATGGACGGTCCTCAGTGTCTATAAAGATCAGACTCTGTGCTCCTTATTAACTTCCTGTTTTTCTTCATTGTTGCTTCCTGTTTGACTTCCTGTCTGATGCCAGCCTCAGCACAGCGTCTCAGCGCGCAGCACAGGTGGTTTCCTGTTCACGCCGTTAGCTTAGCTGCGCTCTTAAAAAGGTGTGATACGGTTTATGTTCTGGTAGGCGAGGATTTGCAGAAAGAACGTACGTGCAATGTGCAGAAAGGGTTTGGAGCCTTCGCTCAATCATAAATAAATAATTAATGAATAAAGCCTTGATAAAACTGGAAAAGGGAGTTTGCTGCAGCTGAAAGACAGCAGGGAGGACAGTTTCAAGGCTGGAGTATTATTAAAGAGCATCTTTATCAACCAAAGTGCATGTTGGGTACAGGTCCAACCTTAGGTCTCTTTAGTTAGTGAAACTCCACACACCTGCAGTGTGAACCATACACTCAAGTTTGACCAGCATGCATCAGTGTTCCTCCCACACAGAAGATGAAAGGATAATTTTCACTCCCTCTCTCTGTCTGCAGGATTATCTCGGCTGCATCATCGACTGCGGCACACTGCCTCTGAAACCGGAGCAGGTCAGCACTCTGTTCTGCAACGTAGAGGACATCTACGAGTTCAACAGGTAACTCACCTGCTCCACTCAACACACACACTCTGCTCTGATGCAAAACACTGAAGCAAGACACGATCACGTATTTCATACAGGATGCGAAACCCTTGTGGAAAATAATCATGAAGGATTTGGTGTCACGATTCAATTCAGAATCTCTGTTCAATAACGGGGCTTTTTTTCTGGCTCTTACTCCAGTTCACAGTTGTGAGTGACAGTGTGGACAAAGTGTGTTTAAAATTAAACAGGCTGATCAGAGCTGGCTGAGATTTTTGAAAGTGGTACAGAACCGAAGTCCAGAGCTGCGATTTCGCTTCACCATTAAATTCACCTGGGGCCTCGTGGCTACGTGGATGTGGACATTTACACGTCATTCTCAGTCAGTACGCCACCCAGCTTCTGGTACAGGCCGTGGTTACCTCTCTGCCCTCCTAGCAGCTCTCCCAGCTTGTGCAGTGAAACCCTTACAAATGGTTCAGAACGCAGCAGCACGTCTGGTTTTTGTCAGTCCAAAAGGACTCATGTCCCTCCATCACTCAGTGACCTCCACTGGCTCCCCGGGGCCTCCAGAATCAAATTCAAGTCACTAATGCTGCATACAGAGTGACTACTGGGTCTGCACCATCTACCTAAACTCCATAATACAGGTTTACGTTCGTTCTGGGCCACTACGCTCCTCCAGTGAACGCACCTGGCTCTGCCATCCCTTCACACAAAGCGACCTCAGTCCCTGTTCTCATCTGCGACACCACGATGGTGGAACGAGCTGCCGCACGCCATCAGAGCGGGGGCGTCCCTCTCTGACTCCAAGAAGCTCCTGAAAACTCTGCAGAGAACACTTCCTCTGACCTCTAACATGCACTTCCTGTGCTCTTCTTCTTCTGTCTCCTTACAATTCTCTTGTATTGATTGCACTTTTTTGTTAACTCTTGTGATATGTACTATGAGCTCTTGCTAGTATTTATTGCTGCTCTCACTAGTATGTACTGTCAGCTGTAGATCTCGTGCTGTATTTGATGCTCTGCTGATGCTTGTATGTTGTTCCTCAAATGTAAGTCGCTTTGGATAAAAGCGTCTGCCAAATGAGTAAATGTCATTCAAGGAACAATGAGGATCCAAAAATGCCACCAAAATGCACATAAAATGAAACAGGGTTTCAGAACAGCCTGAGATGTTTTGGATTGTGACGGACGTTGGACGTGCTGGTGTCCGCTTGGTGTGAGCAGGAAGTGCATGTTTTAACAATGTTTTACATTGTTAAAAACTGCAGAAACTTGATGGTAACAAAATTTTGGTGTCCCATGAAGGCAGACAGAGGGGCAAACTGGTGCAGAGAGGCAGAAATGAACTGAGCAAGGCACTAACGCTGCCAGGGCTGCGGGTTTGATTCCCTCCCGGATGATTCCACCATAAAAAAGTGGGGGGGGTGAAAGCGAGCAGCAGCTGCCTCAGCTCATATGACCAAACCAGATTCTTTAGGATTTTACAGAGCAGGAATGCTGAGTGCTATTCCACCCTGCCTCGCACGCCCAGAGAGAGAGAGAGAGAGAGAGTGCCTGTTTCTGTGTCACGCTAGTTTAAGCGAGCAGCCTCCCCTCCTGGTATGCTCACATGCAGCCAAACAGCCTGGCTCTCTGCTGCAGTGCATCATGGTTGTTTTTACAGACGGCCGTCCAGATTCTGCACATCAGGTTTAGCAAAGAGAGTCTGCAGCGTCGGTGTCGTCTGTCAGGCGGCTGGAGAGCAGACTGTGGTGAGAGCAGGCGGTGATGCATCTGAGGAGGACATGTTAAGTGATTTCACTGCTGCTTGCATGTGACGCCTGCTGCGCGTTACTGTACGCACTGTGTTTCAGGTCCCAGGGTTAGGGATGAAATTTGGTGAGGCTTTTGCAGATATCTAGGCATCGTACTGAACAGCGCACGGCAGGATGATCCCATGCCGCGCACGCTTTGGCAGCGCTTGTCATTGTTGGAACATGAACTGCTGCAGCATCACGGTAGAAACGATGGAGAGGAGTTTGCGGTGTACGTAGAGGAGCTGCTAGCAAGACTTTATTTCCTAACGTTCAACCCAACAACCTCCTCTCTCCAACTCTGACTGCCATTTCCACCGGCGTCTTCCTGCAACAACTCGCCTCTCACAAGATTTCAGAGCGAGACCTTTAGATTCCTGAACATCGTAGGGATCCTTTCCATGATGTTGTCAGACACCTGGTTTAACAGTCCGAGCCTGTCCTGACAAAAAGCTCTTTTTGCAGCCGGTTCAGCTTCAGGCTGAAACATCTACTGCACAGATTCAAAACTTGTTGTATCTACTAGTCATTTCAACACCAACATATGTGGAAACAGGGTCCAGGTTTAAAAATACTGAAATTATCCTTTCAAGTTTTCATCACGTTTTTGGTCCAT